AATCATAAAAATTTCTTCTTTTTCATAGTTATAATTTCTACTCACACACCTACACATAACATGAGAGACATTCAAGACGCATTTTAAAATATGATAAAATAGTAGATATAACTCATAGATGCATACACCCCATCTTTTGGCTGGTCTCTTTCAATAATTTTTAAAATTTTAAATTTAGAAAAAGATAATAAGAGAGAGAGAAAACAGAATTTATTAAGGAATCTAGGTTTTGTTGGCGAATAATAAATGTTTGGTTGAAAAGGTGAGGTAGTGGTATCTATCAAGAGATATTAGAAGTAGCTATCGTTCATTATTGAAACATGATCTTCCCATGTGGGCTATAATATGACTTCTTCTTTTTTTTAGATTTAAAAATATATATATATTTTCAAAACAAGAAGAGGAGAGAGAGAGAAATAGGAGGCGGACCTCATCTCGCAGACGGGAATTCTCGATACGCAAATGTTGATCTTCGAAGGACATTTCGCCGAGGGCTGTGGAGGATCCGCAGTTGGGGCATGTTGAATGGGCGAACGCTTCTCTGTACCGAATATTCTCCGCGCGAAGCTTTTCATTGTCGGCTTTTAACATTGCATTTTCATGTCTTTCGTGTTGGGCCTTCTCGCATTCAAAACACCCAACGTCAAAAACTAACCAACTTTTAACTCTAAACCCTAAACATGGTTCACAGATGTCACCTTCATTTGGGTGCGCTTGTTCTGGAACCAAAACTTGACCTGTAAAGGCTCCAAACCCAGCTCGCGGCTCAGCTCCATTCTCTGCTTGTCATCTGGGTGAGGACATTCCTTAAAGAATCTGAAACATCAAAGTTCATCAGACACATAATAATTGATAAAAAATAAGAAAGAAATAAAAATAAGCCTCTTGGATTTGGTGGTTACACTTCCATTTCTTGGATTTGGTGCTGCGTATGGCGATTGTAGCGCTTCTTCTTGGAGCGTTGTTGGTCACTCCCACAACCTTCCTCTAAGATTTCTGCTCCCGATTTGGCCTCAAAATCATCGTCTCTAACATTCTCCAACTCGTTTTCTGAGGTGTTAAAGGCCATATCGAGCATATGATGATGCGTATCGAACATATCCGGATCGAACATCTTCACTCTCCAACTCTTGCACCAATACACTACGTTCGGTCAATCTATATATCAACAACATGCAGTCACTCGTCAATGACTAGGAGGCAGGTTGCATGAAGAAATTATAAAAAAAAAAAAAAAAAAAAGCTCTGATTTTGATTATTTTGAGTGGTGTAACAATCATTATTACAAGTATTATGTCTGATTCGTACGAAATCATGCTTGTTCAGTACATAGGTTTTCAGGAATGACAGTGCTACATTTTTTACCCATTTTTTTACTGCTGTAAAAATAAGTGCTTGCAGTGAAAAAAAACAAAACAAAAAAACAATGCATATGGATAAGTACTCCATCGAAAATTGTGTCTCTTGATTACAAAATAATATTGGTATCCACCTTAATCCATGTTTGTTTGAATTTTGAGTTTCACAGTATCCTTCAATAATCTTCAATAATAATTAGAATAAAGGAAGAAAACAAACTTACCCGTGGGATGAACTGCGAAAGCGAAGGCAAGAAAATAAAAGGGGAAAAGGGTGTTTTGGGAAGGGCTCGAAGACAGGACAAAGTGCAAGTGTGGGTGGAATGAATCCCAGAATGTTACCCCCAAGTGTGGGGTGTGGGAGGAAGAGAGCTGAAGAGGAGGAGGAGGAGGGGGTGCACAAATGCAGCCAGAGATTGTAATAAGTAATAATACTAAGTGTGTACTGTGGTCAGACAAAAAGCTGAGATACTGTTCGCAATTACCACCAAAAGCATCAATGCGCCACTAACTACTACAAATATCATATTATAACATGTGGGGTGAGGAATTTGAGATGATTGGTGATCTCACAATATTAAGCTCAAATTAATTGAGTTGGAAATTTCAAATGATAAAGCAGTAAATAAGGAATTGAGAAGAAGGAAAACGGATGAGGACAGCGTAAGGCAAGGTTGGTGAGATTTGCAGAGGGTATTAAGAGGGATGAAAAACGCATTTAATGGAATTTAAATTTTGGGGTATGGTCACAAGAATTACTGCATACTTTAGTAGGGGGAGGATTGGAGTGTAAATTTCGTGCCAGACTCACATTTATTATTATAAACCCTTCCCCCGTCTCAAACTACTAAACCTAGCTCTATTCATTTAACTAAGCCCAAGCACAAGCACAAGCCCACTGCGATTGCTGGTTCATATTATTCATTTGGGATTAAAATAATATATATTTCGGCGATCTCATTATAAACATGTAATTATGGTTTAATGATGGAAAGGGAATGGAATAGGATTGAAAGACAGAAAAGGAGATGAAATGATGAGATTGTGAAATGTAATGGTGAATATGAAAGATGAAGAGGTTAAAAATAAAAAAGTGGGGGCGGTGGAAGGAGACAGATGTGTCCCAAATAACACAGAGTAGTAATCAGAAAACATAAATGGTCTGTTGTTATTATTAATAATAAAAATGAATACATTAATACTATTATTTTGTCTGAGGGTAGAATTTAGAATGCGTAAATGCGTATCAAATAAATTTAGAGGAGGTCAGGACACGCAACCGCCCAACCTCCTTAAAACCGGTCCTCATTCCATTCATTTCCCCAATTCCACCCCTTCTTCGCTCTATATATTTTCCGTTTTCCTGTCTGAACAAATCAGTGTGTATGTTAATGCAATGGTCCCCTATTTATACTTATATCAATATATGTTAACATAATCTCTTTCCTTCTCTTATCCACTTTATTAAACTTACAATTGTGTTTTATTACGCTGAAAAAGGAAAGAAAGGGGCGTAGGGAGTGGTGGCAAAACAAGACGAAAGGTCCCTCTCGGTTCAGTTCAGATGGGGAAGTGGTGCCTGTGGTTGTCTTGTGTGGTCCGAACCCCGAAATGTAATCGGAAGAGAAAGCGATGAGTGCCTTCGGGATGGCGCGGGAATCAACACGTAACAATACCACACCTACCAAAGGCTTGGGATTTGGGATCCCCAATTGTACAAGATTTAGTGAAACATATAGAACTAACGCAGCTATTGCTGTTTTCGTTTGGCATGTCGGTTGGGTCATCCCCGGGCTCCACTTTAATCTGTACAAAACCCTACCACAAACACATGCCCTTCACTCTCCATTCCCCAAACAAACCCTCTCTACCTCTAACTATTATGCTTTCCATGCAAACCACAATGAACATAATAATGACCATAAATAACATTCCCATTCTAAAAATGTTACCTAACCAACCATGCCCGCTAACCTCTATTTGGTAAAAAAAAAAAAAAAAAAAAAAAAAAAAAAAAAAAAAAAAAAAAAAAAAAAAAAAAAAAAAAAAAAAAAAAAAGTGTCTAAACAAACGAGGAGGCCATCTAATATTTTTCACTTTCAAACTATATTAAATTAAGTCACTATCTAAAATATATATCCCATCTTGAAAGGGACAGAGCTTTCGACTTTTCCTCCGTGAAAGGATCTCTTCTAATCATTTTGAAAAATGATTTCTTCTCCCATTTAACTTATATGAGATCTTACCATCCAGCTTTCTAGGGACCAGCTTCTCATCTCAATGGTATACTACTAAGTATTTCTATCTCCAATATAATCTTATTATCAACCAATAAAACAAAAGAGTGTTAAATTGGCTTGATGTCTCTTATCAGCTTCACTTTCATTGTTAAACCTCTCCATATCCATTGACAAACTTTCTTCATCACAAATTTTTTTTACTTTCAATTTTATGCTTCGAGAGATTCAAATTGATTTCATTACGCATGCAACCACTTCTTTAAAAAAAAAAAAATAATATTGATGTGATTCTTTATTAAATGTAAATTAAAAAAAACAAAAATGGAAAAGCACGAAGTGGGGATACAAGTTTTCCTTTCTTTAATTGTGATATTTACATATCACCCAACAACATTAAATTTTCAACACCTCTAATTTATGGCTTTGTGTGTGTGTGTTGTTTTTTTTTTTTACCGTTTACCTCTTAACTTTTTAAACCCTTGGTATAACTGAAACACCACTCCCAATTCCATTTCACCATTTACCTTCAAGGTAATTTATATTGATCTGATTCAACCTTTCCTTAAAACCCATTAAACCTGGTCCCAAAAGATTTATAGAATTTATTCCGTATGATTTTGAAACAAAAATATTAAATTGATTTGATTTGGAACATAGAGATGCTTTTTAGATGGATGCATGGGCCATTGTGTATAACAACGTTAGGAGTGACAAACAATGACAACAATCATTCTTCAATCTACACACCTACCTGGCACCCGTCGAATCAATCCCTCTCCTTTTCATAACATCTATTGGAAATATTTATTTGTAACAAATTTGATAAATCGGATGAACGCGTGGGAAAATAATTAGTACGGGTTACCTGTATGTTCATATGTAAATGGATTATTTACATTACAAAATGAATAAGAAGAAGAAGAAGAAGAAGATTGATGAGAGAATCCCAAAGGTACAGAAGTAGATTTTTGGAACAGTGACGTAAAATGGAAGTCAGACTGTGTGAAATTTATATACTTGTGTAATTGATAAAGGAAAATAATAATGGTTGGCAGAGTGTACTGGAATCTTCCTATACCACCCTTTAATTTTTTTAACAGAAGACATCTTTTAATTGTATGTTTCTGTTTTGTTGTTGTCAAACATTAATTCCCGTGCATATCATTTTATGTACCTTAATATTATGATAATCATGATCAAACCCACATCTTTGTTTTTCACAATTATATATATGTCAAGTTTAGCATCAACTCGATAAGAAGATGATAAGAAACTCTTTCATCCTTTGAACACACTGATTATTATGTGTATTCCTATACTTCTATATTAAAAATTTGAATTTGTAATTCACAGATTAAATTTGAACTAAATATAGAGATCAATTGGTGATTTCTTTTTTTTGACTAAAGAGGTGAAAAGAAATTAAGAAATTTAGAAATTTTCACTCCCACGAACAGAAACATCCACGCCTTGAAAAGTTCTGACCAATTCTGGAAAAACTGAGCCATTAATTTGTTCTAAAGTTGATAGGTTGGGATCGGTTCCATTGGGTTATTGCAGGAAGCTTTTGAGTTTGTTGTTCTTGCAATTCCTTTTTTTCTTTGGTTTGTTTGGAAGTTGTGGCTGCTGAAGCTCCATTGACATGTCGGATGCCGATTGGTAACCTATTGAAACATCGAGTTCTGCTTCACAGCAGATCCAACGTAGAAATGCTTGTTAAATTTGATATTCCCATTATCTGGGATTGTGTGAAAAATTAGAGTGAGAACAGACCTTGGGAATGAGTGGACCAATGAGTGAGAGCAGTTATGGCGGTTGAACTGGAATCTCTTCTTTCACTCACATCGCCTGTTCTAAATTCATTCATCTGCGTTTTTTCAAACAACAAGAATAAACAAAACACCAAATCTAAAAAGGTTTTGAAGAGGGAGAAAACATACCCAGCTCGGGTTCGAACCGGATGGAGACGTACTATCCAACCCGATATGAGAGACATGCTTCACATCCGTGGGATACCCAATTTCTATCTCTCGTTCTTTCACCACTATCATCACAAACTTTTGAATTTAGAGAGGGTTTGATTAAAAAAAATAATAATAATACAAAAGAAAGAGGCATTACCAAAAATTTGTTTGATGAATTTGAAGCTTTTGTAGATTCCTTTCATTTTAGAAGACATGGTGGAGATGGAAAAGAAGGGAGAATTAAATTAGTGTTGGAATTTGTAATTAAAGGTTTTATGAACTTAAATTAAACAAAATATTCAAAGCTTCCTTATAATTGGAACCACGTTTTATTTTCCATAATAATAATAATAATAATAATAATAATAATATAATTAATATTGTTGTGGTTTTCCGAAACGAGAGTAATCAAGCAATCTGAAGATCCGCTTTTCTTGAAATGGGTATGATATGGGAAGCATGATCTCATTCTATCTATTTTTAATTATATTTTAATTATATTTTAATTCTTGAATCATAAATCACAGCTCTTAATATTTGATTAATTTATTTATGTAGTAGGTTTAAATCTCTTTAATTTTATAATAACCTCATACCAACTCTTTTTCTTATTCATACTAAACTGAGTTAAGGAGTGATTAATTATTCTACAACAAAAGATCTTTTTTTCTTTTTATTTTTTATTTTTTATTTTATTTTATACTGCATAACACCAACAAGCAGAGAAGATCCAACAAGCGCATACGATCACAGCCCTGGGATAAAAGTCACACCTGAGGAGCCCAGCCATTCAGCTCCTTGTATAAGTGAGTCCACCGTGAACTTTTGGGCCACTGCTGGGCTCGTAATGACATGGTAACCGGGCCATTTCACTCGTTTGCTAACATTAGAGCCTGGCCCATTATTAGAATACTCGCCATAGTACAGCGTCTTCAATGCAAACTCCCCATTCCACTCCGCCCAGCCCGCTGGATCTATGAGATCGCCTAGTGTGGACTGCATAACCACGGTCCTCGAATACTCCTTCCATGGCCGCCCTAAATACGTCTTAATGGACTTCTTAACCGGCTCCAGGTCGGGGCTTGCCACGATTTCGCATCTTTGGATGGAAGTTCCAGTGTTCTGATTTGGGTCTGTTCGGCCTTGCGCTGTCACCATGTTGGCCTGGTTGCTCATCGGACGTCGGGGTTCGATTTTGCAGTTCTGTAATACCACGGCGGCGTTGCCGAAAATGAAGTCCACGGTGCCAGTGATGGTGGAATCGCGGTAGAATTGGCGGTTGGTATGGGCGTAGAGAGTGTCTTGATAAGCGTCGATACGACACCGGTTTATGACGGATTGGTCGGCTCCAACCCGAAGTGCCACCGCTTGGTGCTTTTCCGGCTCGGCGGTGTTTCTGAACCAGATGTCTTGGGCTATAAATCCATCTCCCACGGCCGCTGGATTGTGAAATCGGAGATCATCAAATATGGCTTTCAGATTTAAATTAGGAGAGAAAGAGGAAGGTTGTTAATCTTACCCACAGTTGCAGACTTAAATGTAGTCGATCCATCAACGACGTTGAGGCTAGCAGTGATGATAGTGGAATCCATTCCATCTCCGACCAACATAACATTCTTCTTATTCTTCCCCACTTCCACATTCTCCTTATAAATCCCCTTCTTCACATATATCACAATTCTGCTCTTGCTCTTGTCCGGCACCGCCTCAACCGCCTCCTTCACCGTCTTGAAGTTCCCGCTCCCGTCCTTTGCCACCACTATATCCGCTTTCATTCCTCTCCCCACAACCTCCAACAGCCTCCTATCTCCCTTCTTCAACCAACTCGGATACCCCATCCCTTCTTTTTTGCCCGATCCCCAAATCGAGACCAACATCCCCAATGAATTTCTCCCTATCACAATCAGCTCTTCAACCCCTAAATCCATGGCCGCCGCTTTCGAAATTGAATTCTCGATCTCGTCCGAGCACGCCACGTGGTTCGTCAGCACGCTACTCAGCCATGTGTGTGCATTTTCGATTGTGCCGCACCTTCTTCTCTCGAGAGCCAAAATCGAGTCGGTTATTCGATCCATTGAGATCTCCATGAGCTCAACGCAGTCGGCCAAAGCTGCTTCACCGCGTGGGTTGTTGATTCGACGGCGGAGATCTTTGGCGCTCTCGATGGTGTTGACTATTTTGCTTGTGGATTTCCGCAGGAAGGATTGTAAGAAGTTCGCCGCGTTGGTGGTTTTGGTTTCTTGAAGAAGGGGGAATTCAGAGGCGAGCATTTGAATGCAGGACGATTGGTTGTAAGCCTTGTAGCAGATGTTATGAAGGAAGGGGTGATGATCATTTTCAGATGGGTTTGAATTGATGAGTTTGTTGGTGATGAAAATGGCAGAGCCCAAAAGTAGAGAAAAAAAGAGGATTGTGAAGAAGGTTTTAGGACGGGTAGTTTCGGGGGGTTGAGGAAGAAGTGGCTCATGGGTCGCCATGAACAAATCTCCAGTGCTAGCAGTGAAGCTTGAAGTGATGAATGTAGCCTCCTCTCCTCACCCACCACATATTTAAATACCAAAATTCTATTTACTTTTAGGAGCCTAACATGTAATAATTAGACATAAATACTTTAAGGGGGTTGGATAATGATCTTCAGCTGCGGTAGTGGAGATCATGATTAAGTAGTTTTCTTTTCTCTTCTTTTTTTCTTCTGGAAATTAAGTATTTTATCCGACACTTGCCCTGCTTTTAGCTTGGCATTATATTTATTATGGGATTCAAAGATTTGTTTCTATTTATTTGTTCTTTTTAATACCCAAAGCATCCAATTGTTTTTGTAGTCAAAAGAAGGGTAAGTGAAAGGTGTACAATTCCTAGGAATTTGGCTCGACCTTTCTGGGATTTTAGTGGACTAATATTAAATGTGCCGACATAACCAGCTGGTGTAAGGTGCTGAGAGGGACTTTGTTTACAATTCAGTATTAAAGCAAAAATCAAAACATTATAGTAAGTGAGAGCTGCAATGAGTGTGATGATGAAAAAACAAACGTATCCTATAAAATCTAATACACTTCATCATGAAAGCACGAACTGAAATCTCACAATCATATAAACAATATTCAACATGTTAATTAGAGTCTATTCCCACTACTATGTTAGCGTCAACTCTAAACAGTAATGAAAATGAGTTGGGATCAAAATGGAAATGAAGTTCTTTTGATAATGTTTAATATAAACAACTTGCAATCGTATTCAATTGGAGATAAAAATCAAACTTTAAAAACAACAACCGAAGGGAGGCAGTATGGCTCACATTGTGCTTGTGCGTTCTATCATGGTATAGCTATTGATCCAGATGAAGTAAGCATAGTCATACTTCAACTTGACTTGTAAAAAGGATCCCTCTTGAATGTTGAAGATAAACTCAACTATAATAACGTCTTGCTCTTCCTTGGTTCCCACTTACTCTTCAATCGGTACAGACACTATGATAGCAGTGAGAATCATGAATACCACATCAGAAACATAAAATTTCCCTCCACAAAGAACCCTCAAGTGATCCCAAACCATGAGAACGACCCGTTGCGTATTCACATTCCTGGCCTTGACAAGCACATGAGTAATGAAAGCCAACGCAACCCAACAATAGTATATAAGAAACCCACAGCAAACCCCTCCGCACCAAGCTGCATTCCGGAGCCCTGATTGAAGAATATCAGCTTCGAGGGATCGGGGTTGTTGGTGATGAAAGATGATGAAACAAGGCCGAGTTCTTTGAGGTGGAGCTCCGACTTGTCGTGAAGCTGGAGGGCATCGAAGAAAATGACGAGTGAGAATAAGGTCTAGGGCTTTTCGAGGAGGTAAGGAAACGAGAAACTGATTGGTCGTTGAGATGGATTACACCAGATGGCGATCGGGATTGGAGGGCGAGAAGATCTGAAACTCTATCGGAGACCGAGGAGGACAGGGAATTATAAGCGAAGAGATGGGGCTTGTTGCAGGCTGCAGGGGAGACGAAAGCGGAATATGTTCGGGACCGAATCTCGAACGCATTATCACTCCCACTCTTTTATTTTTCGCTCAGACTTGTTATCATTTCCTCTTCGTTGATAAAATAGATCCCATCCCGTCTGCTTCAGATAATCTCAACTAGTGGATCCCCTTGTGTGAAGCTGAATGTCAAATAATATACTTCCTAATTGGATCAGATCTTGGAATTTAGGAGATTAAATTTATATTTGGTTTGATATCTGCTTGCTGCATATGGGTTAACTGGTTACTGTATTTCAATGCAATTATGTGTGTTAACTCTGGAATCGTGCTTAGGTGGGGGGTTGTGCTATACCTGGAAACCAAGTACCTGAAAATTAAAGTCATCTTTCTTCCTTTCAATTAGAGTAATATAAAAGGGTGATGGATAATAATTTTAGTTAGACATGAACAAAAGAAATGATTCGACTCGATGAATATACATAACGTAGTACTGCACCATTAGGATGTTCAGTTCATTGAAAACAGCAAGTCCATGAAAACAACCAAGCCATTTTTATTTTAATCGACAACCATATTAAGGCGGCCAACAGGCCGAAGCACTAAATCATCATACCATCATTTGAATTGTGAAACAAAGCATACAAGTAAGAAACCACGATGACAAGACCAAAATGACACCATCCATCTAAAAACCACCACGGAGACGCAGAACAAGGTGAAGAGTAGACTCCTTCTGAATGTTGTAATCAGCGAGAGTCCTTCCATCCTCCAGCTGCTTACCAGCGAAGATAAGCCTTTGCTGGTCCGGAGGGATGCCCTCCTTATCCTGAATTTTCGCTTTAACATTATCAATCGTGTCAGAGCTCTCCACCTCCAACGTGATGGTTTTTCCAGTCAAGGTCTTCACGAAAATCTGCATCCCACCCCTGAGACGAAGCACCAAGTGCAAGGTAGACTCCTTCTGGATGTTGTAGTCAGCCAGAGTCCTTCCATCCTCAAGCTGCTTACCAGCGAAGATCAGCCTCTGCTGGTCTGGTGGGATGCCCTCCTTGTCTTGGATTTTAGCCTTGACGTTGTCAATGGTATCAGAGGATTCAACTTCGAGGGTGATGGTTTTACCGGTCAGGGTCTTGACGAAGATTTGCATCCCACCACGAAGACGGAGGACCAAGTGGAGGGTCGACTCCTTCTGGATGTTGTAGTCGGCCAACGTACGGCCGTCCTCGAGTTGCTTTCCAGCGAAAATAAGACGCTGCTGGTCCGGTGGAATTCCTTCCTTGTCCTGGATCTTTGCCTTGACGTTGTCGATGGTATCAGACGATTCGACCTCAAGTGTAATGGTCTTCCCGGTCAGTGTCTTAACGAATATTTGCATACCACCGCGAAGACGGAGGACCAGATGGAGTGTCGACTCCTTCTGGATGTTGTAGTCGGCCAAGGTACGGCCATCCTCTAATTGCTTCCCGGCGAAGATAAGACGCTGCTGATCCGGGGGAATTCCTTCCTTATCCTGGATCTTAGCTTTGACGTTGTCGATCGTGTCAGACGACTCGACCTCAAGGGTGATAGTCTTGCCGGTCAGTGTCTTAACGAATATTTGCATACCACCGCGAAGACGGAGGACCAGATGGAGCGTCGACTCCTTCTGGATATTGTAGTCGGCCAAGGTACGGCCATCCTCTAGTTGCTTTCCGGCGAAGATAAGACGCTGCTGATCCGGGGGAATTCCCTCCTTATCCTGGATCTTAGCCTTGACGTTGTCGATCGTGTCAGACGACTCGACCTCAAGGGTGATGGTCTTGCCTGTTAGGGTTTTAACGAAGATTTGCATCTGCCAGAAAGAAAACGAGAATTTAAGAATTTCTAGCCCTAGAATACAAAATCCCTAGTGTCTATCCAAACCAATAAAAAAAAAAAAAAAAACAACGAAATCCTAAAACCTATCTCATCCAACAAATATCATACATCGGAATCATTCAGATACTCAAAATCACATAAAGATCCAAACCAGCACATAAGCAAAAGAAACGAAGAAATTCAAAACAACAAAACCCAAAAACGCAATATGAATACAAACGAGTAGAGAAAACATGAACAAAACTAACGAATAATGCAAATAAATAAATAAAAAAAAAAAAAAAAAAAAAAAAAAAAAAAAAAAAAAAAAAAAAAAAAAAAAAAAAAAAAAAAGAGAGAGAGAGATTACGGAACGGCACGCACCTTGAGAAGAGTAGATCTTAGTTAGAAGCTCAATTGAAGAACACAGAATGAAGAAAACAAGGGCCGGAGGGCTTAATTTATAGCGGACAAGGAGGATAAAATCGTCAGTTCAATAAAAAATTGTTTGATTAGGGTCCATTGGATGAACGACACGTGGACCATACTGTAGCTAAGCTACAAAAGCAGGTTGGAAATAGTGGTGGAAGCGATAGGAACGATGCGGAAAGGGCAAAGCCAAATATCACCTCTATCTCTCCAATAATGCAATTCGAATATTTATTTATTTTCTTTTTATATTCAAAGGTGCGGAGTAGGTTCACAAAAAATCAAATACATATTTATTGGTAACGATATAATCTGGGAATATACAATAAACATAATTGACCCCGGCTTCCACTTGTTTTTAAACGCGTGACCTATCACGCCAGATTACTGTGGGCGGCCAGCGGTGTTCATATGCAACGCAACGGCCTATCTGTAATTACTTTTTTCCCCAAAAAATTACTAATTGGCTCGATTTTTCTTTAAAGAAAATGAAACGCAGCTTCTTTAATTTAATTTAATAAAATTCACAATTCTTTACGGGCACGTTTTAATATTTTTTTCTAAACAAATATTCAATAAAAACTTATTATAAGCTTGTTCCACTTAAATTTTAAGTAAAGAGCTCAAAACTCAAACAACTAATATAATAAAATAAATTTCTTGTTTGCTGCTTCAAATATATATATATATATATATATATATATATTTACGATCTAAACTTTATATATTTATCTAAAAATATTCTTCTAATTTTTAATTATAAAAAAACATTTTTATTCTTGGGTTCTTTTAGAAATATTTTTAAAATGTTCTTCAACTTCAAAACATTTAATTAATACATTTTCAAAATAAATTTTTATTATTTTAACCTACCATTAAATTGCCGTGTACTCTTTCCTAAACAATTAATATAATTTAATTCACAACGAACCAATTACAGTAAATAATAATTAAGTACATTTGACTTTTCATTATAATTAAAAAAAAAAAAAAAAAAAAAAAAAAAAAAAAAAAAAAAAAAAAAAAAATTAAAAAAAAAAAAAAAAAAAAAAAAACAAAAAAAACAGTTGTTGAATACATGTTTGTTCAATAACACTATTGTTTAAATTAAAAAAAAACGGGATTTCAGAAATAAATAGGTCAATTATACCCAAACAAATTCAACATTAATAACTGCCCTTTTATGTTAATTCCTTTCTCAAATTCAACATGTGTATATATTTTATTTATCACCAAAAATGTAACCCAACTGTTTGGGGTTCTTGTGTTGACCTCTATATCATTCTAACTCTAACTCGCTTTCTCCTCCATTCAACATTCCAGATGAAAACGCAAAGTATATCAGCACCATGGTTCCCAAGCACGACCTGTTCCAGTTTTCAATATATCAAATTATCACTCCATTCAAAACTACCTCACCCACCAAATAAATGAACCGTCTCTAAATTGCTATGGTCGAGAAGGAGCTAAATAAATGAACTTACAGTGTGGCGCAGAACATAAAAATCTTCCTGGGATCCAAGTACCAGCTGCAAGCTTGTGAAGATCGCTTAAAGCTGATTCTTCTAAAGCTCGGCCTTTCCTTGCCGCCGCAACCGTGGGCGGTCGATTTCGCAATCTCATGGCTCAGTGCGCCGCTACCGTTTCCACCACCGCCCACTTCTTCCATGGACCCCAACCCCATCACCACCGCCTGCTTTTCGAGCGTGCTAGCCGCTCCAAGTACCACACCGCCTGCAATTTCATAAACATGAACAACACCCGACATTTTTCATGGGGAAAATTATAAATTAAAAAAATAAAAAAGCTCCAAAGTGTTCATGTTCATGTTCCCTTTTTGTCTGTTGTTGAATCTGGCAAGTGCTATGCACGTGCATCAGAAGCTGGTGCTTCAAGTCACTTTACCTATTGGGGACATGGACTCCTCTGTGTCATTAGCAGCACCATGATCTTGCCCGATTTTGTTTCCGCCACGCAACGTACCTTTTCTGCTAAAATTCCTCTGCCGTTTCCGTAAAAAACAACAAAAAGTTCCACCGTAAACAAAACGTCTTCTTTTAATCCTCTGATTAAATTACTTAATTTGTATTTTCATATGAACTTAGTTTAAACGGGAAAGGCAAAATGAAAGAAAGAAACTCACGGAAACGCTTGAAGACTGAGAAATTTCCTTGGTGGTACTATTGGAAAAGCTGTCCATATCGATGATGAAGCTATCGGGTTTTGTTGTGTACTGAAACCTGTTTGTTTGATCGGAAATTAAAATTTTGTCGGGAACCACTGCTTTTTCTACCCCATTATTCACTTCCCCAGAAGGTATCACCTGAACCGTTTTAATTTATAAGTGGTTTGGAGTAAAAAAGAAGAAAAAGAAAACACCCAAAGCTCTACTGGGAATTAATGGTCATCGGAAACAAACACAATTAATGACCCAAAACCGTAAATTACTTCAGAAAAAGTAGAAACACGCTTACCGACTTCGGATTGTCCGCCGATTCCATTGAAGAACAAGAAGCAAGAAATGAAGAACGACTTGAATTTACAGGAAGAGCTTCAAGAACTGATTAGATGAAAAAGAAAGAGAAGAAAGAAGTCAAAATTTGGGGGAAATAAAGAGATAAACAAACCCAACGAATCCACTGCAATCCAAATTAGGTTAATGAAAAGACAACAAACCTGAGAAAGATTCCAAGGAATCGGTTGTGGTGCTTCTTCTTTCGTTCTTTCTTCCTGTAAACTGCTTCGAACTACGTACTATGAATAGATACGAATACAAATTAGATACAATTCTAACTGGATTTTGATCTTGAATGCGTTGAGCAATTTGCTGATGAAGACAGAGGAAATAAGAACAGAGGAAACAGAGGAAACAGAGGAAAACAGAGAATGAATTGGGAAATTTGCAGTGTTTTCGCTCTGGATTATATATTAAACGAAGCATGCCATTTATCACTTTAATTTATCTTATATATATAATCAAAATAATAATTTAAACTTTTTTTTTCTTTTTTCCTTTTTTTTTTTTTCTGTTTTTAGAATATCATATTACAGATATTGTAATAGATAAGCTTTTAATTAATGGAAATTTATCTTGGATTTTAGTTATATAATTATGTTTATTTCTATACTAAACAAAAATTTTAAATTCCGAATATTAGAATTGGCCAGCGATAAACCCAACAAAGGAAAACATAATAATTGACAAAAATTTAGATAAATTTATAATTTCTGTTAAATTTTTAAGAAAGAAATTAAATTAAAATTAAAATATATACTTAACCATCAAAAAAATTAAAATTGATTTTAAAAAGGGAAAAATAAATAGGAGATGATTATTCAATAACTCAATTAGTCCCAAAATTTTATTTGATATTCCAGAGAACTGATGTTGGGTTTTATAAATTTTGTCCATAATTCTTTTAACATTTAATTTTTACCCTTAAATACGTTAAAAATAAATAAATTAAGCCTTTTTTTTTTTTTCTATATATACTTGGTAGAAAACTGATGTTGGGTTGAATTATTATTTTCCTTAGGTAATTGGATACCTGACATGCAATTTAGAATTAAATAAATACATTTTTTTTTATCAACAAAGTCGGATATTTTATTACGAACCAAATTGTTATGTGTCATAAAACATTAAATAGTATAGGTATATGTCCAAATACATTAAAGAATATGACGGTAAGAAATGGCTTCCCGTGTCTTAATATTTTTTAATTCAATAATACGTAGAATCGATATAGCTTCTTGACTGATAATATATGTCTTAATCAATAAACTTATATTTAAATTATTCTAATTGCGTGAATAAAAAACTAAAAGAATGGCCGGTATCTCTCACATCCAATACTTGCCATTGAACTAAATCAACTAACACAAAATTGACCTTAACCTGTTATTTAATCATTAGTCAATAAGTTGAATTAAGCTCTTACAGTCTTACTTTTGTTCTAAGTTGGCAAAAGTAATAATTTATCATTTATACTTTTAAAATATATAATAAATATTAAGCATAAAATGACATAATGGACATTCTTAGGCACATTTATTATTTTTAATTTTATATAACAAAAAACAACCAACGAGTTGCTATATATAATTATCAAATTAAAAAGAAATAATATCAAGCATGCACTGGAAATTTAAATTTTGTAGGGTTGGAAGAAAGACAACTTCAATTTTTTTTAATCAACTTGACATTTCAATTTTATGGATTTGAGGAATTAATATTAATATATATAGTTTACTTTCCTCTATAATGTTGGCAAACTTTGTTTAAGAAAAAAAATATCTATAATAGTCTATAACTTATTTAAAAAATGAACTTGTACAAGTTCATAATTTATTTATTTATTTTTCTTTTCGAATATTATAGACATTTAATATTTAACCAAAAAACTCAATATATAATTATATTTTCACTTGTCAACCCTTCACCATTGCAAAATGATTATTCCTAAAGATTAAATAGAGATTAGTGTATAATTTGAATGATAACTAATGGACAGAAATTGAAATTACTATTTTATTAATGTTTTTGAAAGGAAAGAAACAGAGAAAGAAAGCAGTAAACTAATTATTTTTCCCAGTAGATGGATGAAACAGACATGGATGCACTGGATTGTGCTCAATCCAGAAAGGCAAAGTTCGCACAGTTGGGTACGTGCTTCAGCTGTTTCTTTCAAGGTCAAAATGGTGACCATTTCTGTAACTTTTGCTTCAGGAGATAACAGCAAAGCCCATTCCGCCTATTAACAAGAAGGGTATGGGACAGAGCCCAATATCGACCCCACTCTAACTAGCGTGGGACAGAGGTACAGTTTGTTACACCCCAAGCACACTAGCTAATAGATATTGTCCTCTTTGAACTTTCTCTACTAGAGCTCCTCTCAAGGTTTTAAAACGTGTATTCTAGATAGAGGTTTCCACCCCTTACCAGAAATGTTTCATTCTCCTCTGCAACTAACGTGAGATCTTACAAGTTGGAAGTACCCAGCTGTGCAATATTATAGAAGTTCAATAGCTATGTTTAAGATTTAGATTAGAAGTGGAG